TAGCCCCTCCCCTATGGGCGGCTCCCGACGCCCCTTAGTACAAAAAAAAACAAAACAAAAAAAAACCAAAATAAAATAGTTCAGGAGGGTGGTGAAGCGGAGGTGGTCTTGGGGGAGGGAAGGAGGGTCAAGTCTGTGCAGGGGGCAAGGCAGTTCAGGCGGCCAGGGCGGTGACAGTCCATCGGGCGGCCAGGGCGGAGACGACTCCTCGGGCGGCCAGGGCGGTGAAGACCCCTCGGGCGGCCAGGGCGGTGAAGACCCCTCGGGCGGCCAGGGCGGAGAAGACCCCTCGGGCGGCCACGGCGGTGAAGACCCTTCGGGCGGCCACGGCGGTGAAGACCCTTCGGGCGGCCACGGCGGTGAAGACCCTTCGGCCGGCCATGGCGGTGCGGCCTTCACAGTCCCATCCAGGGTCCTACTGCCCCCCCCCCCCCAAAATTTTCTTAGGGGCAGCCATGGGGTCACCAGCAGGAACAGACACCGGCGCAGGATCAGCGGGCTCTGGCGCAGGATCAGCGGGCTCTGGCGCAGGATCAGCGGACACCGACTCAAGTGTGTGCGTAGCCCACACACACCACATGGCTGTGGCCATAATGGCCAGTGTTGCAGTCACTGAGGGCTCAGGCGGCGCATGCGTGGCGTGATCAGTCTCTGGCTGGGCAGACGTGACGGTCTCTGGCTGGACGGTCTCTGGCTGGACGGTCTCTGGCTGGACGGTCTCTGGCTGGACGGTCTCTGGCTGGACGGTCTCTGGCTGGACGGTCTCTGGCTGGACGGTCTCTGGCTGGGCAGACGTGACGTGGACGGTCTCTGGCTGTGCAGACGTGACGTGGAGCTCAGCCAGAGACCGTCCAGCCAGAGACCGTCCAGCCAGAGACCGTCCAGCCAGAGACCGTCCAGCCAGAGACCGTCCAGCCAGAGACCGTCCAGCCAGAGACCGTCCAGCCAGAGACCGTCCAGCCAGAGACCGTCCACGTCACGTCTGCCCAGCCAGAGACCGTCCAGCCAGAGACTGTTCAAGTCATGTCTGCCGTTCCAGAGCCTGCACCTCACACCAGTCCAGCCGTGCCTGAGTCTGAGAGCGTTATGCCCGCCAAGCAGGAGTCTGTGAGCGTTATACCCGCAGAACCAGAGCCAAGGCCCTCTTCACCGCTGGTCCTGCCCAGCTCAAGGCCCTCTTCACCACTGGTCCTGCCCAGCGCTCAGTCCTCCTCGCCGCTGGTCCTGCCCAGCTCAAGGCCCTCTTCACCACTGGTCCTGCCCAGCGCTCAGTCCTCCTCGCCGCTGGTCCTGCCCAGCTCAAGGCCCTCTTCACCACTGGTCCTGCCCAGCGCTCAGTCCTCCTCGCCGCTGGTCCTGCCCAGCTCAAGCGCCCTCTTCGCCGCTGGTTCTGTCCAGCCCAGAGTTTCACAAGATGCTGGTCCCGTCCATTCCAGAGTTTCCTGACAGGATGGCCGTCACTGAGCCTGTGTCTCCGGACAAGATGGCCGTCACCGAGCCTGTGTCTCCGGACAAGATGGCCGTCAACGAGCCTGTGTCTCCGGACAAGATGGCCGCCGAGCCTGTGTCTGTTCCAGTTCCTGAGCTGGATCCAGTGTCTGTTCCTGAGCCGATGGCTGTTCCTGGGCCGGTGGCTTTTCCTATGCCGGTGTTGGTTCCTGAGCCTCCGCCGTGGCATGGCTGACCCGAGTGGCTCAGATAGTCCCCCTCTAAAGAAAATCATGAGGCACAACGAATCCATTGGAGTTACGTTTGAAAGTTCAATAAAGTCTCTCACGTAATCCTCAATGGGCCGGTCTCCCTGACGGAGGCGCATAATTTGTGCTACTGGATTCATTTTTGATACTGCTGGATCTGAAGTGGCGAAGTCTTCTGTTGGTCGGTTGTTCTGTGATGATGCAGCAAGGAAGAAGCGGAGAGAGAATCCAAATGCAAGCACTTTAATCAAACAAACAGGTAATCCAATGGAACTCAGGACAGGGACAAGAACAGCAAACAACTTCAACAACCGACAGCCAACAACTGAAACACAGGGGTTTAAATACACAGACAAACAAGCTAAACAAGATAACAAGGGGGCGTGGTTAATTAGAAACACATGGGGAGACTAATCAAAACGGGGAACAGCTGAACATGAAACAAGACACATGGCAGGATAACATGACAAACAGGGAATCACATGACAGACAAGAACAAGGAACAAAACACAAAATCCACACCGTGACAATATGTATATGTATATACACTCACCTAAAGGATTATTAGGAACACCTGTTCAATTTCTCATTAATGCAATTATCTAATCAACCAATCACATGGCAGTTGCTTCAATGCATTTAGGGGTTTGGTCCTGGTCAAGACAATCTCCTGAACTCCAAACTGAATGTCAGAATGGGAAAGAAAGGTGATTTAAGCAATTTTGAGCGTGGCATGGTTGTTGGTGCCAGACGGGCCGGTCTGAGTATTTCATAATCTGCTCAGTTACTGGTATTTTCACGCACAACCATTTCTAGGGTTTACAAAGAATGGTGTGAAAAGGGAAAAACATCCAGTATGCGGCAGTCCTGTGGGCGAAAATGCCTTGTTGATGCTAGAGGTCAGAGGAGAATGGGCCGACTGATTCAAGCTGATAGAAGAGCAACTTTGACTGAAATAACCACTCGTTGCAACCGAGGTATGCAGCAAAGCATTTGTGAAGCCACAACACACACAACCTTGAGGCGGATGGGCTACAACAGCAGAAGACCCCACCAGGTACCACTCATCTCCACTACAAATCGGAAAAAGAGGCTACAATTTGCAAGAGCTCACCAAAATTGGACAGTTGAAGACTGGAAAAATGTTGCCTGGTCTGATGAGTCTCGATTTCTGTTGAGACATTCAGATGGTAGAGCCAGAATTTGGCGTAAACAGAATGAGAACATGGATCCATCATGCCTTGTTACCACTGTGCAGGCTGGTGGTGGTGGTGTAATGGTGTGGGGGATGTTTTCTTGGCACACGTTAGGCCCCTTAGTGCCAATTGGGCATCGTTTAAATGCCACGGCCTACCTGAGCATTATTTCTGACCATGTCCATCCCTTTATGGCCACCATGTACCCATCCTCTGATGGCTACTTCCAGCAGGATAATGCATCATGTCACAAAGCTCGAATCATTTCAAATTGGTTTCTTGAATATGACAATGAGTTCACTGTACTAAAATGGCCCCCACAGTCACCAGATCTCAACCCAATAGAGCATCTTTGGGATGTGGTGGAACGGGACCTTTGTGCCCTGGATGTGCATCCCACAAATCTCCATCAACTGCAAGATGCTATCCTATCAATATGGGCCAACATTTCTAAAGAATGCTTTCAGCACCTTGTTGAATCAATGCCACGTAGAATTAAGGCGAAAGGGGGTCAAACACTAGTATGGTGTTCCTAATAATCCTTTAGGTGAGTGTATATATATATAAACAAATTATTCCAAACTTTTGACCATTTTGCACTAATTAAGATGAGAAAATCTGATTCATTAACTCACTTAGACATCATAATTTGATAAAGGAGGGGAATATAACTTTATTAAATGGCTAACATTTGATGTATTGTGCTACATGAGAACTCTGGTTCTGACTCTGTCAAGAGTTGGTTATGCTTTTCAGGTTCCCAGGCATACACATACAACCAGGAAGCTACTGCGGTACATTTGTGAAATAGCCATAAGCCTGATGTCCTACAGTGTGCAGGGACTTCAAAGCTGTGGCAGGAAATTGAGTTAGAAAGAAAAAGATGATGTTTATTGCATCTGAAGAAACATCTGTCTCCCTCCCAAGTTGTTTTGCTGCTTTTGCCCCTAAATGTACCCCCTAAAAAAACAGGAAAGTGAGCATAAAATAGGATTACTAGACTGATAGCATTAAATAAATATTCAATAACCTGTTTGCTGTAATGGGCAATTTAGAAAAAAGTGATTGCTGAATATTCCTGTTAGATATTAATAAGTAATACTGTTTACTGCATGCTAATCATTCTTACAGCAAGAAGACTAACTTTGATTAAAATCCTTGGTTACACTATGGTTACACTTTATTTTAAGGTGTTATTGTTACAGTGTGATTATATATTTAAGTACTGAGTAATTCTAATTAACTACATGTACTTACTATATAGGTTTAGGGCAGGATTAGGAATTGTTTGAGGGTTAGTTGCATGTAATTATGCATAATTTACTGTTATTACAATGGTAAGTACATGTAACATGTACATGTAAGGACACTGTAAAATAAAGTGTTACCCATTTAAAGGTGTCCTTGTTATAGTTATTACATTTAAGTACTGAGTAATAGTAATTAACAACATGGGATTAGGGTTAATTGCTTCAATGTTTTTTACATGTCACATGTGTAACAATGACACTGTAAAATAAGATGTTAGTGAATCCTCACGATCACAAAGCTGATACAAAATGAGGTAACACTTTACAAATAGGTTCATTAGTGAACATAATGCATTAACTAATATGAACTAACAATGAGCAAAACATTTGTTACAGTATGTATTAATCTTTGTTAATTTTAGTTATTCTAAATAAAGCTGTTCATTGTTTGTTCATGTTAGTTCACAGTGCATTAACTGATGTTAACTAATACAACCTTTGATTTTAATAACGTATTAGTAAATGCTGAAATTAATATTATCTATTAATAAATGCTGAGGAAGTATTGTTCATTCTTATTTCATGCTAACTAAGATAGTTAACTAATGTTAACTAATAAACCTTATTGTAAAGTGTTACCAAAATTTAGTTTACTTAAAAACTTGAGACCTTGAATCAACCGGTACAAGCAATAAAACATCATGCACACTGTGGTTTGTAGAGGTAGGGGGCTTTCTGTTGGCTTCCTGCAGACATTCCTCCACAAGAGCTAACAGGTCGCCTGTAGGAATGTTTGCCTGTTCATCCAGGATGGTGCCTCGTTGTTCATCTCACCAGAGACCAAATCCTTCCACACCACACAGTGCAGCCACATCTGATAGAACAACAGCATGTCACTCCACAGCCTCGGTGTGCAAGCCGTCCTTCTCATAAGCATCCTGTCTGTCTGCTCACCCTCAGGTATGTCATTTAAGGCTTTCCATAGTGCGTTTGGGCTTTCAGACACCACATTTCAGAAGTGACTTCTTTAGTTAATGAGGGTGTATAGTGAACTTACAAGCCTTGTAAACAGGTTTTGTGAAATGTGACAAAATGCAAAGGCATGGAAAAATGTTAGACTTTGAACTCAATCTCGTTTTACAATGCATGATTAACCATGCCCCATGGTGTCCCATGAGTTTCATTTAGCAAGAATATGGATCAATTGCATTGCATTTTAGAACTGAACATATTTCATTTTTTAAACATATTTACAATTACCTTTACAACAACATTTAATTGAGCATAACATAACATATTTTACAGTAGGCCTATGTTATTTAAAATACATTTTCTATTTAAATTTTCAAAAATTGAAAAATATTCCTTTTGTAACATGTCAACTCTACATTGTATAAAAAGGGAATCTGGAAACATAAACATTAATATAGCGACAAGCTGCAATTATCAGGGGTCAAGCATGTGTGGAGAACCAAAATTGCAAAATTTTCATATAGATGAAATTCAGATGTTGTAAATGCTGTACTTGATCGTTTGGTCATTTGAACTTTCTAAATCACAGTTGCACATCTTTGATATAGCACCCCTTGCACAACAAATGTATGAAATTTGGCGTGTTTCTGATTTCAGATTGTTTCAGTTGTTTCATTGGCCAGTCAAAAATGAATGTATTGTCTGTTGAACTTTGATTGGCTCATTTTCCCCCCTTTATTTTTGTTCCTTTGTCTGTTTGATAATATTAGGTAAAGTAACCACTTGAACAAGAATATGCATGGTAAATTTCAGTGCCCCCTATAGGAAGAATTTGGCCTAGAATGTCCTGTTGTTTACAGCAGTGTAGCTCAATCCCTGTTCCTGGAGATCTACATACTCGCAGAATTCAGATCCAGCTGAACCTTTCAGGAAGGTAGATTTCCAGGAACAGGATTGGGCACCGCTGGTTTACAGTATGTATTAAGTGTTTTGAAGCTTGGACTTCTGAAGATATATGTTTTTTTTTTATTAGTTAGTCATTGTGGGCAACGCCCCAAAATTTTGAAGCCATTTAATTTGACAACTTTTATTCTTTGTAGGATTTGTTTGTGTTCACCTGAATAGTGGGGAACATTTGGGACCATCCCAAAGTTTGTTGACTTCCTCTAAAACTTATGGTCTCTGACACAGAGACAGTTTTAAAGCATAATTATAAAGAAAATCTAAAAAGAATGCAGTAAGGTTCAGTCAACTATGATTTCCATATGGGTGTCAATATATTTTAAGCTGACACAACTGATATTGATATTACAGATAACTCTACTGTTATTTTGCGGTGTTTGTAAAGAATGTAAAGAGAGACAGACAGATGTGGTATGAGGTATATAGGATGACACCATTTATGGAATTACTTACAGTCTTATTAAATATTGGGCCTACGTTTATGATATAAATCAATCTATTTCAACATATTTAAACAACATTGTTTGCTTTTTTAGGTGGTTCATCCGAGAGAAGACTTCACAGGATCCTCATGAAACAAGATGGTATGATAATATCAGAATCCATTTTAAACATTTTAATGATATATGGTTTATTAACTCTCTCATTCTACCAGCATATTCCACCTAGTAAATCCTTAGTCCTTTCCCATAAATCTTTAATTATAGCCTGATGCCCTCCTGATGCCTTTTTCTCCATCAATTTCTTCACACTTGTCCATAAATCAGCTTCTGACCTCCAAAACTGACAGAGATTGATGGCTGATATGTTCCAAGGGAAGATAACATGGATGATTATAAACTAAAGGCATCGCTGATATTTATAACATGGAGGTGCGGAAGCTTTGGGCTGTAGATCAGGTCAGAGTCTCTAAGTGTCATCGTCAGAGCAAGATAATTGGGCAGGGGTGCTGTCGCTTTAGGCTGTCATCATCCTCTGTGCTTAAAACACACGTTTCTTTTTTTAAAGTGATCTGGGGCCTGCTCTTTTAGAATGCATGAACCAAAAAAAAAAAAAAACTACATGAATGCATAAAGGGGGTCAAAAAGACCCGCATTGGAATTAATGGTTTTCTTGTAGGTAAATATGTGTCGTATTATTAAAAATAATTGATGATGCACAAATGTTTTAATATATCAAACATGTTAATTTTTCCACTTTCCTTGTAGGCTATATATGCATTACAAAATATATAATTTATTCTTTTTAAAATGTAGTTGTATTTTATGTAGTTTGCACCTCTTCCTTTATTTGGGCCTTCAGCTGTCCTTGTGACCTTTCTCATCTACTGCATCTGAAACCACATATAAATATTGAATGTGAAATATTGAAATATTGCATGAATGTGTGTAGTATGAATGCAGTTGGGTATGTTACTATATATGTTACTGTTAGCTTTGTCATGTGAGCTATAGAGTGAGTTGTGTAATTTCTCAGCCATTCACAACTCCTCTCCCATGGTCTATGGATAGTAAAGTGTCCATTGGATGTGACTCATGGCAGAAGTAGTAGGTCATACGGATACTTATTATTTGCCTGCTGTGGTATTAATAATGTATATTCAGACATACTATTCATTTTACATGATTCTTTTCACCTATATAGCAGTGAGATATATGTATTCAGACACGGGGTTGGTGTCTGAGGCAATTTCTTGGCTCAGAGCAAAAAAAAAATTACAAGAGATTTTTTACCTAATCCTAAGAAAATAAATATTATTTTTGACAAAAAATGTATCCCAAAATACTTTGCTGACTCAAAATATTGATCAATTTGACTGCCTTGGGGTTGTGATAAAAAAAAAATATATACATATATATACACTCACCGGCCACTTTATTAGGTACCCCATGCTAGTAACGGGTTGGACCCCCTTTTGCCTTCAGAACTGCCTCAATTCTTCGTGGCATAGATTCAACAAGGTGCTGGAAGCATTCCTCAGGGAGTTTGGTCCATATTGACATGATGGCATCACACAGTTGCCGCAGATTTGTCGGCTGCACATCCATGATGCGAATCTCCCGTTCCACCACATCCCAAAGATGCTCTATTGGGTTGAGATCTGGTGACTGTGGAGGCCATTTTAGTACAGTGAACTCATTGTCATGTTCAAGAAACCAATTTGAAATGATTAGAGCTTTGTGACATGGTGGAAGTAGCCATCAGAGGATGGGTACATGGTGGCCATAAAGGGATGGACATGGTCAGAAACAATGCTCAGGTAGGCCGTGGCATTTAAACGATGCCCAATTGGCACTAAGGGGCCTAAAGTGTGCCAGGAAAACATCCCCCACACCATTACACCACCACCACCAGCCTGCACAGTGGTAACAAGGCATGATGGTTCCATGTTCTCATTCTGTTTACGCCAAATTCTGACTCTAACATCTGAATGTCTCAACAGAAATCGAGACTCATCAGACCAGGCAACATTTTTCCAGTCTTCAACTGTTCAATTTTGGTGAGCTCTTGCAAATTGTAGCCTCTTTTTCCTATTTGTAGTGGAGATGAGTGGTACCCGGTGGAGTCTTCTCCTGTTGTAGCCCATCCGCCTCAAGGTTGTGCGTGTTGTGGCTTCACAAATGCTTTGCTGCATACCTCGGTTGTAACGAGTGGTTATTTCAGTCACTGTTGCCCTTCTATCAGCTCGAACCAGTCTGGCCATTCTCCTCTGACCTCTGGCATCAACAAGGCATTTCCGCCCACAGAACTGCCGCTCACTGGATGTTTTTTCTTTTTCGGACCATTCTCTGTAAACCCTAGAGATGGTTGTGCGTGAAAATCCCAGTAGATTAGCAGTTTCTGAAATACTCAGACCAGCCCTTCTGGCACCAACAATCATGCCACGTTCAAAGTCACTCAAATCAACTTTCTTCCCCATACTGATGCTCGGTTTGAACTGCAGGAGATTGTCTTGACCATGTCTACATGCCTAAATGCACTGAGTTGCCGCCATGTGATTGGCTGCTTAGAAATTAAGTGTTAACGAGCAGTTGGACAGGTGTACCTAATAAAGTGGCCGGTGAGTGTATATATATATATATATATATATACCCCCCTCCTATGACCAAGAAATCTGAAAATGACATTGATGAGGGTCAGAAAAAACTTTTTTTTTAAAAAGAATTCATGGAATATCAATCAAATAATGTTGTCGTAGATAAAATATAAAAAAATCACAGCATGCTGACTCAGTTTGACCCCCTTTATGCATTATAGGGTTAAAAGGATAGTTCACCCAAAAATTTAAATTCTGTCATCACTTACCCTCATGTCATTCCTTTTGTTCATCTTTGAAACACGGATGAAGATATTTTAATGAAATCTGAGAGATTTCTGATTCCCCAACTGAAAGTCAATTCACTCAAAACTCAAAAACGGTTCAAAGCGTTCATAAAGAGATTGTAAAATAAATCCATATGAATCAAGTGGTTTCTGAAGAGACGTGGATCCTGCATATGATAAACCGATTAAATTAGGCTTTTATTTACATAGAAACACTGATCAGTGAACATACATAGAGTACTTGTATATGGTAAATGGAAACTCAACTGTACTTGGTTGACACGTGAGAATTTCATTGGTTCTTGCGGAAGCTCTAATATGGTGTGACATACGAGAATGAACCTCATTAGTTGTCGCACATCAAGCAAGCATGCTTGAGCTTCTGTTTACCAAATTTGAGTGCTCTATGTACTCGCTGATCAATGTTTATATGTGATTAATGTGTATGTAAGTGATTGTGTCTATTCAGAAAACTTGGATTAAACTGCTCGATTCATGTGGATTTATTTTACAATCTCTTTGTGAACGTTTTGAAGTGTGAGTTTTGGGTGAATTTACTTTCAATGGAGGAACATAAATATCTCAGATTTCATTTAAAATATCTTCATTTGTGTCATGAAGATGAACGAAAGTCTGACAGGTTTAGAACGACATGTGAGTGAGTAATTGATGACAGCAAATTTTTCATTTTCATTTTTGGTTGAACTAAGCGTTTAAAAACTCCTGGTCTGTTTAAATAGTACAACAAGACTTGAAGTCTCCGTCTCACAGAACCACCAAGTGCAACATGTTCCTGGATCAGCATTCCAATCAAGATTTGAAGGAAAGTTTACAGTTTATATCAAGCTTAGGCTTACAGCCAGGGATAGGTGCTTCAATATCAGTGTTATTCACCTATCATTTCCCTCTTATTTTAGGGATAACTTATGAATAGGGTTAGGTTTAGGGGTAGGGATATGGTTATGATTACATTTTCGGACTGGAATGTTGTTCCAGGATAAAAAAAATTATGTTGACCCAGTAACATGTCAGCAAAATCAGGACGTGCCTCTGACTCTGGCCTTGAATGTTTCCTGTTCTCTTCACACAGCAAAGGAGCTGGAAGCCAAGCCTAAAGCACAGATCGCAGTGTCGCAGTCCAAGGCTAAACAGTTTCTGTCAGCTCTTCACAGGACTAAGAGAAACGTGTGGGACCGAAGCCGTCCCGACGTCCAGCAGTGGATCCAGCAATTCATGAACATGGGCTATGATGAGGCAGTAAGTAAAACAGTAATCACACAAATGATGTCAAATAGCTTATGTCAATTGTCATAACACTATCAAATGCAGTCTGCCTCATCGTTTTATCTCGAAGAGAATCGAAGTACATTAAATATTCACACTGAATATTTTTTTGATATAACCACTGGATGTCAAGTAATTATCAGCAAATTTCAAATGAAGCTGAGCCTAAATATAGTTATAATGAGAACAGGGTGATGTCTCAGATAAACCTAGTGTGCTTTGAACACTGCACTGTGTGATTAGTGGAGCGTCGTTGACTATTGATGCAAACTATAACACTAACTAAACGGATGACTTTCAGTGATAAACTGATTGACTATTCATGCCGAACATTCATGTTGGTGGCCTAACCACACATTTTTTAATAATTTACTTGTTTTTTTTCTGAGGGGCCATTTACACAACAGTTTTCAACTAAAAACTGAAAACTTTTTTATTTGTTTTGGCCATTCATTTACAAGTTTTCTGCAAGTTTTTGAAAACGATACCTTTATCATCTTAGTGTTAACTACAAAAACATGAATTTGTGAAAATGGTGACGTTATGCGTTATGAGTTTTACCATATCAATTCGAGCCCAAGTCCTCATCCTTTGGAAGTGCATGCAAAATGCAGAAAACAGCATCTTCTAGGCATGTCAACAGCATGCACCAAACTCTTCCAGGCCTCAGCTCCAGAACTAACTTTTGAGGGTGGGTCAAAGTAGGCCTATATAATGTTTCGCTGGAAGCCAATGAAGACCATAGATTGTTGTTATGCACATTTGTTACAACCCTCCATAGGTTCATGGAGGAAGTAAGACTGAAATTACTGACGACTTCAATTTCAGGCAGTTCATAATCGGTTATTTCTTTTAGGAGACAACGACTCCAAATTAGACATTTAGATCTGTGCACTTTGATCTTTGAAACTTTGAGGACCTTTTACATTCACAAACAGCTAAATTGCATGCTACATGAAAGGTAATAACAAAAATTGATAATAGGAGCACTTTAAGTCATGTTGACTACTTTTATCATATGTTTATGGTGCTTTTGTGTCCTTTTTGAAGCTCCAGTCCACAATCTTTGCAATTTTTTTCCAATATTTCTCCTTTTGTGTTCCATGCAAGAAAGAAGGTCATGAGTTGGATGAGTACTGTAAATGATTCAATAGGTGAACTGTCCCTATATATATATATATATATATATATATAACCAGGGGCCGTATTCACAAAGAATTTTAAGGCTAAAAGTAGCTCCTAACTGGCGAATTTAGGAGCAACTCCTAAAAATAATGGGCGTGTCACTCCTAACTTTAGGCCTCCTAATTTTTTTCACTAAGAGTAATTCACGAAGCATTTTAGCCCTAAAAGTAGCACCTAAGTCTGGGACAGCTTAAAAGAAGTCGAGAGGACTCCTAACTCACAAAGACCTATTCACAAAGGATCGTAGCGCACACCACCGCCTCTCGCAGTCGTCCGGGGTCCGCGACACAAGCGGGAATGCGGCATTGATCTGCAAACAAATACTCTCCCATTCTCACGCTTAGTTTTGCTTGATATCCCAGTGCCGAATTTCACTTTTATTATTTTTTTTTTTTTTTTTTTTTTTTTTGCACCGACTCGGCCAGCAGCAGTAACTGATCCTGCGTCCAGTTGGGCTTTCTTTTACGTTTTGGCGACTTCATAAACCACTGTCATTCAACTATTACATTACATCAATAAGAGCAACATTTCCTTGCTTTAAGTAGTCTATTTAGGCTAATAGGATGTCAATTAACCAAGCAAGTGTTAATGCAAGTGTTGTTTTTCATTATTAGGCAAGTGGAGGTTTTCATTAGGGTATTAGGCTACCTTGATTTAATTTATTTTAATTCACGACTTTTCTCTCTCTCTGCCTTTTTAGAATTACACTTCACTGGGGCCTGCACAAACATGTCATTATATATGCATTTCGATGACATTACTATTATTATTTTGTGTAGGACACAGACATATTTAGATGTCGTAATTCCATGATTTGTTGCGTCTGTGTTATGCTCCGCATGATGGCCCTGTCATCAACCAATCACCGTGATGATTGCGAGGAAGCTCGTGCATGAGAAGTGACGTCATCCATAGCAACGAAGACTCACTCTTAGTTTAGGAGTTGTCATTTTTCCTTACTAAGAGTAGGTCTGAAAGGCGCTGTGAATAACTTTTAAGAGAAAACTCCTAGCTAAAATATTTTAGTGCGATTTAGGAGTACTCCTAGTGGTAAGATACAATTCTTTGTGAATACGGCCCCTGAGCTGTGGTGCCATGTCACTGTAAGTGCATGTGCTCCTGACATGTTTAGTTGTGACACTTTTAGTGTGAGCCTGGTCTGCAATGTGTACTCATTCATTTGCTGTCCATCTCTGTTGTGTCTGCGCAAAAAACAAAACCCAAATGTAACCTAAATCTTTTCCCATACAGTGCAATATCCGCTCTCATTCAACATTTATGTATTTCCAGAGACTTGAGACTGATCTTTCCTATTGGATGGACCAGGCCAGATCAAATGACCAGGGCCGGCAGCATCATCATGATGAGAATGCACCTATGAGCCAACAGGACCCTGGCTCCTACAGACACGGGGCCAATGTCAATTACGATTACTATTAAACCACCTTATCAACTATCTTGAACCTTACATTCGCTGTGAGAATTGGAGACTATTGGTAGACTGGTGCTCTAGTCTAAGGCAATGTACATACTACACAACCTAATGTCCCGTATATGATGTGCAATTTTTTTTTAAATCAAGTGATTGGGAATATGCAATTGCGTTGAATTAATGCACATTGAATACAAGTTTTTTTTTCTTGTTTGCATGCTGTGATTGCATTACATCCTGACTGTATTGTAAATATAATGGAAGTTTGAAGTGGCTACATCTTGAATAAAACTTCAATGAGGTGACAGCCAACATACTTGGGTAAGCATGTACAAAAAAAAAAGGATATCAGTTGAATACAGATAAACATGACTCATTTAACAGCAACATGAATGGACTCAGATTTACAGACATAATGATTTCATAACTCGATTCATACAAAGGCTGCAACATCTGAGGCTGAGGCCAATATAAACCTCCTTTACAAACTACCAATGAATAGAGGACTGTAGACTCCTGGATTCAGTTAGTCAAAAGAGGTTTTCAGAATTCTTATAGCATGTTCTTAATTTTTTTAAACCAGACAAAAAATGCATTTTAAATATTACATGGAAGAGTGGTGTTCCAAATACTGTGGTAATTCACAGCCATGCAAATACTGGGACCAGCAGCACAATTGTGAGTGAATGTGATTTTTTTAATGCAAAAGTTAAATAAACAAATAGTTAGTATTGCGTAAATCAGATTTTTTACAAAATACCAATTACTTTGTCAGTTTTTGCTCCATCAGCAAAAATATGTCCAAACAATGTCAAAGCAGAATCTACAATTGAGCAACACAAAATAGTGAGGTTTCCATCCTTCTATCTGTTTTGTGATCAAATAGGTTCATTGGATGATTCAATGACTCACTTACATAGTCATTTTTCCCCTACTAATGCAGCTTGGCTGGAATGTACAAACATTAAAATTGGAAAGGGATACAAAAAAAATTATCTCAGTGCCGTATGACTGTGTATCAGAATTCATATGTAAACTCACCTGGTACACTGGTCAGAAAATACTGTGCTGGTGGAAAATGTCTAATGTATTACGATCAAGGGGAATAACCAAGAAAATGCCATATTTATTTAGTTTTGTAAGCTGAAAAGCTTACGGGGCTTTTGAAAGTTATTGTTGTTCAGATTTGTTGATGTCTGGTTGGTATGTAACTCGAGGGTAAAAATCAAGGCCCATGGTTTAAGTCTGTCAGGGCAGAGACACAGAAACAAACAGGGTTCCTTCTGGGGGTTATGCCTAAGTCTGAAACTGGACTTTTTTAAAAAACAAATCTGGATTTTAACCTTTACCACAAACGAGCACATTAAACAGGGGAAATGCTGTACAGATGTTTCAAGCAAGAGAATGACTTTATTTACGATTACATTTTCCATACGGCAGATGGTGACTCTGCATTAATGTTTCTCACAGATTGTATTTATTACACCAGAGCAAAGAGCAGACATGACCAATGATAAAAAGCAGGCTAAATGAATTTGTAGCATAATACTGAATGTTCTCGCCTTTTATGTAAACATGTTATCTGTGAGCGGTCACATCTGTCATTGCAGTAATTTTCCTGGTAAATGCATATAGCCTACAACATAGTATAATGAGAGAGTGATTAGGTCTTTCAGTGCTTTATCACTGTGTATAAATGAACAATAAACAGTGTTTGTGTGGTGAAAGCACATGTCTGTCTGAGCGTGCAGGGGTGAAGAGCAAGACTACAGTGGATCAGAGCTGTGGTTTAGCCATCATCCTGATGTTATTGCTTCACAATCTCTCATTTATGTCCAGCTCTGTAAACTAATACTGTAGGTTTCTATCTTTAGCACTGAGAGATTTGTTATATAATACCAGTACGTTTGAAGATCAAACACACCTGTGGAAAACCTTTTCTAATGCTATAGACAATATTTCAAACAAAAATACTGCTTAGGTGGTATTTATTATATCCAGAAGTGAAGCATTACTCTGTTATGTACTCTTTTTTTATCATGTTCAACATTCATCTTTCCCTTATTGAATGTCTTCATTTCACTTGGTATTCTTCTCAATTCTGTTCTTCAATAAAAACCCCAGCTTACTGCTATACTAAACCCCAAAATGTAAAGGAACGTTTCACAAGGGCCTTTTTACACTGCACATAACCCTGGGTTATTGTTCTAAAGCCCACTTTTAACCCTAGGTAAAGGAATGTTTCATACTTGTAATTTAGAAGTGGGGTTAGCACCGCTAAAATGCGGCAATTGGAGTAAAGAAGAGACCATTTCATTCTTACCTTTATAGTCCGACAGTATGACAGAACTGTGGTCTTTTGCATAGCGTAGGTCAGGCTTTGCTAACCTTCGACAGTGTAACAATGATCGCAGACAATTGATAACAGCTTAAGGGCAGTGATAGCCGACATGGCTCATTAGTGTTCTCTGCATTGTGCTGGAAACAATTACTGTCGACTGACACCCACGGCATGTCTGATCTGCTCAAATGCTCCTGAAGACATTAATGAAACTGAGAGCTTCATTAATGAAACTGAGACAACAGCTTGCAATCTCCTACAGCTGTCTGAACTGCATCACACTATTCTCTGCAGAATGCAACATCCAACTGGATAAAGTAAGAGATCCTGTGGTCTGGTTTAATTTTAAAGCACTTCTTGCCTCTTCTCACATCCTGAGATCAGAGGAATATCTGACACCCAGGGTGAGAGGAGTCTCTGGAGCCAGGAAAAAGTTGTGTATGACATTGACAAAGAAAAGCATTAAATTATACAATATGCTTTAATGAATTCCCCCTGTGTTTGTTCCTTTATATTGATATAATTTTGGTACAGTGGGTTTAAAAAATCTACCTTTTCACTCAATAAAATAAAAAACCTGGAATGATTAACTGCATAATGGTGCAAACCCTTGAACTAATACTTGTTGAATAGTTGAAGCAGCCTTTGATTTTATTACAGGAATCTTTCTGTTTTGGCATGTGTCTCATCAGCTTGGCATAACTTGACTTGGGAATATTTTTCCACTCTACTTTGCAAAAACGTTGTTTTTGATATGTTAGATATGTTAAAGATATGTTAAATTGTGAGGGTAGCTAAACGATTTTGAAAAGAAAGATAATATATCTGAACTTGAATAATTACACAACAGAAATCACTGACCACAGATCAGGCATTAGAATAAACATGGTTACTTAGATGTTTGTGGCGTTGCTGGCAGATCCATATCGTAAAAATCTGTTTGCAAAGCCTGCATCAAAATTGCAACTACCAAATAATCAACAGTGAAATGCACTGAATACAAACAAATGCACTGCTGACACTGCTGAGACATTCACATTGTTGTTGATAGGATCTTTTGGAAAGTAATGGTATTATTGATCCTGTGTCGATCTTTACTCGTTCTCATGTCACAATTCACTAACGCTCACGACGCTGCCAACGACGTGGTGATGTAGACGTAGGCGTTGATATTCTTCTGCAAAGGCGGTCTTTCGCTGCCCTATGACGTCATAAGTCACCACTTTTGAGATCGTGTTGTCTAGCCTTGGTTTCAATAAAAGCTGTTTTCGGAATAACAAGGAAGTTTTTAGTTTTGAAACTTACAGGATATTCTTATAGAATAACTATCTCTTAAAGGTGGGGTCAGTAGTTTTTGAAATATGCTGTTTGGATGTTAGTCAGACACCAACAACAAACGTGTCAGCCAATCAGCATTATGGGGCGTATTACGGTGGAGGAGAGAGAACGATCAAGAGGGTGATTTGAACTGAAGAAAGACTGCAGAAATAGAGATGAGACACAATACAAAAGAGAAAAGCTCAGAAGAAATTACTGGAAAATAAATAGTTTTGTCAGGGCAAGAGCTTCAGGACTCATGTTAATATTAGAAAAGCTGTGGTTGGAGAGAGCGAAGCGGGAAGGCCTGAAAACAGACGTACGAGTAATTAATACTGATGTTGCTCCTCGATTTGGTGCGACAACTCTTCTGGGAAGTATAAATATTTTTTAGAACATAGCTTTAGCGATTTGTGCCCATTTAGAGACAAGGTCATCTATAGGTTTTTCCCATAGGAGTTTTTTGATGGAGTAAGCAGTGATCTGATATTTATCATTGAGTTTCATATTGACAATGTTGGAAATGTCAGAATGTCATTGTGATATCAATAACAAAATTAAAGAGTTGTTTCTTAAACATATAGGCTATTGATAAATGTTGCTCTGTGGTAGATCCGGGTTAAGCTACACTCTTTATTTCTTTCTCTTTATGTAGTTTAACATTGTGAAGGACATGTCCATAAACTTGACAGAAAAAAAGTACTGGTAATTTTCTGGCAGGATATTGGACACATTATTCAAAAAAAAAAAAAAATTCTTAGTGTGTGTATATATACTGTATAAAAATTACGTTGGTCATTATGAAAAATAATCTGGCTGCGTCTGTATTTTATATGTATATATATACAAATGCAGACGCAGCCAGATTATTTTTCATAATGACCAACGTAATCTACCAAGAGCAATACAAATTAGCATCTGGTTTAAGACGTGCTTTTTTGGGGGCGGTAAATAATGGTGCAAATATCAGTAAATTGACTAGTGCTAACCTTAGTAAATCACCTTGCGTGATTCATTTAACTAATCTCCTCCCATAAATTTTGCGTCTGAAAGGGAAATTCCAACAAATGCATATGCAATAAGGTCCACGCCTTGAGTAAATCCTGACAATAGTTTTTTAATACCAAAAGACAGTCGTTTTTTAATGCCAAATTATTGGTCAGGAAACTACTGGAAATTAAAATATTTTAGCAAATGCACTTTAAAAACCTAGCCTGTCTTCGTCATACTCATATTCTAGTCAGAATGTGAGTCTGATACTGCTCCATAGGGCTTTGATTATGGGGCGTCTTAACCGAACCAGAAAAAAAAAAAACCTCTGCACTCAATTGGATAGACCTAACCAATCAGAGCAACGCAGTAAGTGTTTTTTTTTTATGAGCTATGCAAATTGTCAACAGACCTCAACTGCACGCACGCTGGAAGAAGTAGAAAAATAATGAGTGTTGCTTCTTTTACTTGGTCCTCCATGAGTGCGACCAAAGGAGAAACCAC